CACACAAACAGAGAAATATAATTAATTGACATATTTATCATTTCGAGCTTTTTATCCTAGTAAAATAGTAGTATTTGTTTTTTTTTTTTTTTTTTGTGGGCTTCATTTAGCTGGTTTTCCATTTGATGGAGCAAATAATTCGGGTAGTCACAACTAGGGGTGGTAAACGAGTCGAGCCGATTCGAAAAAAGCTTGAACTCGAATTCGAGTTTTTCGAGCTCGAGCTTTTTGACGAGTCGAGTTTGAGATAGTTTTTAATTGTTCGTGAGCTCACGAGCCGACTTGCGAGTCTTATTTATTATTTATAATATTTTTTCTTATTTTTTATATATTATTTTTTATTGAAGTAATGTATAATAATATAAAATATTATAGAAATAAATAAAAATAAAATATAACTACTATAAAATATATAATTACAATTTATTGTTTATTTTGTAATTTTTTATAATAATTTTTAATAATAATTAAAAAAAATATTTAAAAAAACAACAAAATGAGCTTGAGCTCGAGCTCGAGCCAAAAGAGAAGGAACTCGACGAGCTCGAGCTCGAGCCTGCCAAAAGAGGCGAACTCGGCTCGTTCACAGCCCTAGCCACAACCCTTATAAAATCATATTGAATCTATAATGATAATAATAATACACCAAATTGTATCGGAGAATTAATTAAAAAAATCTACAAATTGTGATTGGAGAATTTTTTATTTTTTATTTTGATAAAAAAATTATTTGTATACACTAGTTGACTGCTACGTACTTAGATATTTTTTTCAGAAATACAAACTTTAATATATATTAAATTTTAATATATATTTTTCAAAACAAAACTACAAATAATAATACAACCCAAAAAAGGGGGCAAATATAGTTAGTTTCTTCGTCAATGATTTATACATTTGACTCTCTTCAGTCTCAATCATTTGTAGGTACGGGCTCAAACTGGAACGAAATTTCCGATTTCTGACAATTTCAATCCAATTTCTTTCGATTTTGCAACAATAATATTTTTGTTTTCCAATTTCGAATTTTCTTTTGCCTTAGAAAGGGAATAAATATGCGATTCAAAGGATATTGACGGTCAAACAATAATAAAATATTACAACTACACTTAAAAAGACAAATATGCCCTCGAGGGAGACCAAGCCAACTCTTATCTGGAAGAAGTAATAATACAAAAATCGACTATAGTTGACTTTCTTCAATTATTTCCATGATACATCTCATGCTCCAGCTAGCTCCATCCATGTATCTATATCTATATATATATACACACACTATACACACACACACACACACACATACATTCATATATAGATACACCATTAATAAAATTACGATCCTAAGTGTGTATGCTTGTGTGTGAGAGAGAGAAAAAATGGAGAAAAATGTGCAAGAAAAAACCACCAACGAAATCGAGTCGCCGGTGAAAACACCACCGCGGCCGCCGCCTGCACCAAATGACGACGGCGGCGATGAACCTGAGATCAACTACAGGGGCATCAAATCCATGCCTTTCATCATTGGTGAGCCCTATATTTATATACACCAAAAACACACACACACACACACAAAAAAAAAAAAAAATCATTTTCTTATATGAAAATTATATATTTATATTTATTTTTGGTGAAATTAATTAAGGTAATGAAACGTTTGAGAAGCTGGGAGCAATCGGGACGTTATCGAACCTGCAAGTATATCTAACCACCGTATTCAACATGAGCCGCATTTCCGCCACCATGCTTCTCAACGTCTTCAACGGCACCACCAACATCGCCACCTTGGTCGGAGCTTATCTCTCCGACACCTACTTCGGCCGTTACAAAACCCTCGGCTTCGCTTCCGTCGCCTCCCTCTTCGTACGTACATTTATTAAACTTCTATAAATTAATACCGTCGGTACCAACCAAAACTCTATTAATTTAACTAAATACTTTTTAGCACCTTGCCTCTGAGTTGGGATCGAGATTTTTTTTTTGGTTATTTAAACGAGGTTATAAATTTATTGAGATTCTACTGTATATAACACAGTTCGTAATATACATATATGGTCACCCCTGAGTTATGGTCAAATTACGAAACTCCCCCTTTTTACGTAATTACAGCCACCCCTCAACTATGTATTATCGTAAAAAAAACCCCTACACAGGTAAATTTAGGGGTGTTAGATCGGTAAAACCGAACCGAAATTTCGGTACGCCAAACATTTCATATCGTTTACCGAACTAAATATACAATTTGTTTCGGTAAATAACTTAATTACATATATTTTATGTAAGGGTTGGTTATAATTACCCAAACAAAAGGGTTTTTTTTTCGTAATTTGGCTTCTTAATTAGATTTAATTTCTTGGAGAAAAAAAACAGGGATTGTTAGTAGTGAACCTAACAGCAGTATTCAAGAACCTACATCCGGCGAAATGTCTGCCGGAAAACAACGGCCACTGCGTGGGGCCGGACGCGGGCCAAACGGCGTTCCTACTTCTCGGGTTCGGGCTTTTGATAATCGGGGCGGGTGGGATCCGGCCATGCAACTTAGCATTCGGGGCGGATCAGTTCAACCCGAATACCGAGTCGGGTAAACGGGGCATAGACAGCTTCTTCAACTGGTACTACTTCACCGTCACGTTCGCGGAGATAGTTTCGGTGACGGTGGTGGTTTACGTGCAGTCGAACGTGAGCTGGTCGATAGGGCTCGGGATTCCGACAATTTTCATGTTCTTCTCTTGTCTGCTCTTCTTTGTCGGGTCGAGAATGTACGTCAAGGTGAAGCCGGAGGGGAGTCCGATGAGTAGCCTCTGTCAGGTGCTGGTGGTGGCGGTGAAGAAGCGGCGGCTGGTGCTCGGCGGCGATCACCACGGTGTGGAGCTTTTCAACTACGCGCCGCCCAAGTCTATCAATTCTAGGCTGCCTTATACTGATCAATTCAGGTAATCATACAATTCACCATTTTAGATACTTCTAATTTTTTTTTTGAAAAAAATACAGTTTTTGCCCCTCAAGTTTGTACCGATTTCACATGTGGTCCCCGTGTTTACAAAAAACACATTTGGTCCCTTATGTTTAAAAAAATCAACATTTTTAGTCATTTCTGTCAATTTTCCGTTAAAACTAACGGAATCAAGCGTGTTCCGTGACTTTCTTAACTTACGGACTAACGGTAAATTGATGGAAATGACAAAAAATGTTAAATTATTGAAACATAAGGGACCACAGTGTTTTTGTGAACACGAGAGACCAAACATGAAATCGATGCAAACTTAAGGGGTGGAAACTGTAATTTCCCCCCTTTTTTTGTCTTTATAGTTATCATTAGATTTAGTTAGGGAGTTGGATGTTAGACCTGGTTATTTACAGCGGGTGAATTTGAATTAAATAACTACCCAGTAAGCACACACACATGCATGATGTGTGTGATTATGTGTAGATTTACGGTTCAAATTCAGTCAGTGTAAATAACCAGGTGTAACATCTAATTTCCCGATTTTAGTCTATGTTGCATTGGGTGGTGAATTTTGATTGGTATTTATATATTATGCTTGCATGTGTAGATCATAAATGTGATTGGAGAAAGAAATATTAGGGAGTTATATGCTGCATTGTTAATTGTGGATGAGATTAAATAATTACTCACTAAAAGCATATACACACCAATGTGTGTTTATGTATAGATATACGATTAACAAACACCCCAAGTAATTAACTAAATAATCCGGTGTAGCTTATAATTTCCTGAGAAATATTGGGGGATAAAAAATTTAGAAATGGAAACTCGTTTGTTAAAATTTTACATGTTAATTTACAAAATTAATTAGAATCGAGTCATACTTAGAGTCTTTAAAGAAGGTCCTTATATGTCGAAATCGATGAGTTCACTGAATTCTCAAATCTCAACCATGTCAATAACTAGGTTGAATTATAGTTTACGAAAAATACACTCATAAATAAAAAGTAAATTTAGATTAAATATGAAATTAGAAAGTAAATTTAGTCATACTTATTTTCTTTAAATTAAAAATGAGAAAACTAGTTGCCATTATTGCAATTAGATCCCTTAGAGGAAGGCAACGTTTGACAACCAATGAATTAATATTGCTCCTTTTTTTTTTTTTTTTTTTTTGTCTTTAGTATTAGTTCAACTTACCTAGAGCTAAATAAAGTAATAAGACACTTGATCTTAGTTAAGTTGACTTGAAGGATGACGTCATGTTCGTTAATACTATTATTTCTCTGTCCCAAATCATTTAATGATTTCATTGATTGAAAAATAAATAAATTAATTAAATAAACATATATGTATAAAAAATATTATATTAAATTGCTTGTGGGACCATTAAAATATCTAGAATAGGGAAACCCCATTCCTACTATAATTATATAGTGTTGATGAGATAGCGAAACATGCATGGCCGTCCATATACTGGGTCAATCTCTTATCCTGCACTGCATGCGCATCATTTATTTTTATTTATTTTTTCTAATAATTTAGTTCATATTAATCAGGGTAAATTACGGCCATCTCCCTGAGGTATGGTAATATTAAAAAAAAAAAAAAAACCCTCTTGTTTGGGTAATTACAATTACCTTCTCGACTGTGAATTGTCTTACACGTCCACCTTGTGGTGCCAAATTTAGTGTAATCTTCTAGTTTATGTGGATAATTCTCCAGTTTGTACTCGTTTTACCCGATTCGAGTTCTACGTTTTGAAACAAGATGATCATAAGATGTGTCTCTTGGCTTGTAAATATCAGATCATGGTACGTCAGAAACTGTATTTTGGCACAAAACGAGTACAAAATAGAGAATATTCTACGAAATCTAGAGAATTATGTTTAATTTAATACCATAAAGATGAACGTGCAAAAAAACTCATAGTTCAGGGGTGGTTGCAATCACCCAAACAAAATGATTTTTTTCGTTATTTTACCATACCTCAGTGTCGACCGTAATTTAGTTATTTTTCGTTAGTTATCATATATTTATAATAATGTCATTTTCCTAATAATTTAGTTAATAAATTAGAAAAATTAATTTATGTATACGAAACATTCATGGCCGTCCATCCCAACTCCCACGTTTTATACCAACCAAGAGAAACCACATTCCACTCCCCAATAAAAATTATAAAAATGAATTTATTTATACCCAAGTGGATACTTAGTAAAACCAAAATTTGAGTGACGTTGATATATATTATTAATTAATTAATTAATTAATTAAATACAAGTTTTTTTATTTAATTTAATCCCATGACATTAGACATATGCCCCCATAATTTGACCTGCAACACAATTAAATAATTTGTTTCATAATAATAATCACATGCATGACAAAACCTAATAAATCAAATAAGTTGTATCTCAATCTTCGTTAATATTTGTTATATTTGAGACTTTTTTTGTCACAAATTATATTATTTGTCTCTTTAGAGTTCTAATGATGCTTTAATTATAATTCTTATTACAATTGATTAATTAGAATTTAATTAGTTTAGAATCAATTAATGATAAGAGTATTTTAGTAATACCAATTATTTTGTTTTTTCTACAATTCGTGCATATTTACTGATTTTCTTGCCTCATCAGATTCTTGGACAAAGCTGCAATAAGAACTTCGGAAGACCGCGTAAACCCAGACGGATCGCCCGCGAACCCATGGAGCCTCTGCAGCATGCAACACGTGGAAGAGACGAAATGCGTCCTCCGCGTAATCCCCGTTGCACTCACCGCAATCCTCTACCACATCGGCGCGCAACAACAATACGTGGTCTTCCAAGCCCTCCAATCCGACCGCTACCTACCCAACACCAACTTCCAAATACCCGCCGCATCCTACGTCATCTTCGCCATGCTAAGTCTATCCCTGTGGGTCCCGTTCTACGACCGCCTCGTCATCCCCTTCATGCGGAGAATCAAGAACAAGAAAAGAACCCGAGCGGGGGAAAAACGGGAGTCCTCCGGAGGAGGGTTCACCGCCCTCTCTAGAATCGGGATAGGAATATTCATAACGGTTATAGAATCGATCATAGGCGTGTTTGTGGAGCAGAGGAGAAGATCCTCTGCTCTCAGAGCGGGCGGGCCCACATCCCCCATGTCGGCGATGTGGCTGGTCCCGCAGCTGGCCCTTGGCGGGCTGGCTGAGGCGTTTAACGCGATCGGCCAGATCGAGTTTTACTACAAGGAGTTTCCGGAGAATATGAGGAGTATCGCGGGCTCGTTCTTCTTCTGCGGGAATGCGGTTTCGAGCTACGTTTATAGTTTCTTGATATCGATTGTGCATAAGATGACGGAGAAATCGGGGACCGGGAATTGGTTACCGGAGGATTTGAATAAGGGGAGGTTGGATAACTTTTATTACCTCGTCGCGGCGTTGTGCGCGTTTAATTTCGGGTTTTTTCTTTTGTGTGCTAGCTGGTATAGGTACAAGGGGAGTGGTGAAAGTGGTAGTGTAGAGATGGAGATGGAGGTGAAGAAACTTGACCAGCATTCTGCTTGATTGTATAATTCATGATTTACAGACAACCTCGTACAAGAATTCTTTGTTCAGGTGAATCTTGAATTAAATGAAAATTGGCACTTATGTAATAGTTTTATCTATATTTACTTTATTGTATAACATTTTTAAGATATTATGCAAAAAAAAACAAAAATAGATATATCTAGGCAAAAAAATAACATTGAAATTATGGAATAAAGAGAAAAATAAATTATGTAAAAAAAAAAAAAACATGCCACATCACCAAAAGACAATACTTTATGAACAACATTTGAGTTCCTTCTAGATTAATATTTTTTTTCATACAAGATTAAAATAAATAAAAAAGAAAAAAGAAAAACATCGAAAGATAAAGAAAAGCGCGATTTGAATGACTCGAAAAGCATACACTTCCGCAGATGCAAACTCCGTGAAAAAACAAATTACCGTATTATAATGCAAACGCGGTAACTCTATTAACTCTACCTCGATAATGAGCTCCATTTAAATAATTTGCACCCACGAAATGTGTCGTTTTACATATACGCGCAAGCGCGAGCGCGCGCGCTCATACAGTGTACGCTTGCTGGATTGTATCTATATCGAGACCCTTCAGCCTAACCACCGATTCGACGTGGCCTTTCAGCGTATGCAGTTCCCTTAACCTGTGCGTATATATATAACAACATTAGCCATACTCCAAATTATTTAAGAATTAACATAATTATTCATAAACGACGTTTAATTAATATAGATATATATATACCGAGCAATCTCGGCTCTTCTTTTTGCTTCCTCAGCCAACTGATTGAGCTCCGAGAAATTGTTGTTTTCATTAAACAATTTAGTGTCGGGTACTTGCAATCCGTGAAGGGTCCTCTGCGCGTGGGCCCACTTGAGCTCGCGCTGCTCTTTTCCGAAATCTTTTTGCCTTGTGAAAGCAATCTACCAAAAAAAAAAACATATTAAATAATAAATAAATAGATTATACAATAATAATAATAATAATAATCTAATTTTTTTTCGATTATAATTACCCTTTGCTCGAGAACAAGATCCCACGCCCTTCCACTAAGAGCGTATCGAGTCAAGAATTTAATAATATCGAGCGGAATATAGAATATTATATTGTAGAGCCAAATCACACCGGCCCAACCCCACCCGATTCCTTCGATCGCTGCAAAGCTCCAATTTGCGTAAACCGCAATTAAAGTAGCAACCTTCATTTCAAACAAAGTAAAATTACTAAAAAAATCATTTTTTTATTAATTATTTATTTATTATTAAATCAAAGAAGAATTTAAAGCTAACCAATTGTGCAATGAAAAATGCAGCCACAAGCAATAAACCGGGTCGTTCCACATACGACCAGCTTCTCGATCTCGTTACGAATATGAGAGCTTGACTTATAGTGCTCACTTGAAGATATATTGCCGAAGCAAGCTTTCTGAAGTCATCGTGGGCCGTTTTTTCGAGGGTCGAAACACCGAAAACTCGCTGGATATTTTTAAAATTAATTAATTAATTAACAAGGAATTATGGGTTTCAAAAAACATTTAAATATTATTATTGGAGCTTAATTATCAAGAAGAGTTAATACCGGAAAGAAATCGGTTTTATAAGCTGCCCAAAAGAATATGACTGTCATCATTGCCAGGTAAGCACCGAGGACGACTCCGGTTGCGAAAATCTCACCGAGCTTCCAGCTGTCAGGCAGTGGAGAAGGTTTCACTCTATCTTTTGATATTGTCATGATTGTACCTTCATCGTAAAAATTGCAACGTAAGCTTTATGTACAACTCTTGTGTGTGTGTGTGTGTGTGTGTGAGAGAGAGAGAGAGAGAGAGAGAGAGAGAGAGAGAGAGAGA